CAAAACAGGTGAATCCTTGAATGATAATCACCTTGTACCCAAAGGCAAACCACACCATGTCACCGTGACACACACTGAACGACTTGTTCGCTAGGAGCTCAACTGTGTTGAAATACAATCTCCACCCGGCTGTGAGTGATCCCATGTCATGTTTCCCCACAACGCCACTGTGGTGTGGTTCAGATGAGCACCCTGCTACCCCTGGATTCAAACATCAACCAACAGGGTTGTTCCTCGGTCCCCTCTCCTCTCCTCTTGCTTTAGTAAACACGATAATAGCAGTGCTGTGTTCGTGTGGGCTCCATGTTAACACTGTGCTTGTCAAAGGCCATCATGCCCCTTCAAAGGATGATGGCTCTCTAAAGTGGGCTCTCTCGGTAGCAGCCATTTTCCACTTGACTGGCCCCACACATGAGGGGGACTGGTAGCCCCTAGCAGCTGGGCCAGACTGGTCACTGGGGGTGGGGAGAAGGAGATGAATCACTGAATGGGGGGGGTTAACAGCAGGAAGGGAGGGCGCTTACATGTGTAGAGGTGTGTTTGGTATTCTGACCTAAAGTATACTGTTTACTTTACACTTCTGACATGCAATCACTGCAGAACCCTCACAGGTCGACCTGTTCGCTGTTACTTGGCATCAAATGCCTGATTTACATCTCCACCCACTGGCATTGAGATAATACTTCCGTTTGCATGTCTGCTTAAAGACTGTTGCTTAGTGAAACCCTGGCAAATCTCTTGCTCTCCTTGATGAGAAACAGACTGCCAATATCTCATCAGGAAGTGGCAACAAAAGCCCATTGAGATGTTATGATATGAATGATAATGCAGCCAGTGTCTGTTTGCATCGGCCATATGGGCTTTGTGTCAACACTTTGGGTCCAGCCAGGTTTCACTTGGGACAGTGAGAGCAGGATGCATTTTCATAAATCATTTCTTGACACCACATCAAGGTTATGTGGCTGGCAGCCTGTAGCCTGTAAATTGCCTTTGCATTGACAATGCACAGGAGCTCAACTGGGATATAAGTAGCTTCAGTAGCTACTTATGGCTGGAAAATTAGGATGACCTTTTCCCAAACTGTGATAATAGTGCCTTCAATATAAAGTCATTCATGGAAGAAAAATGCATTATCATATACTAGAAATGTAAACCATTCATTTAGAGGCTATGTGCGTACAGACAAGTTAGCCTTTGTTAGCCATCCATGATGCACTGGCTCTATAATACTCACAGTGTGAAGGCAATAATTAGCTCACTACAGCAGGGTAACAAATTTGCACCCCCGTCCTGCTGTGCCGCTCTGTAATTGGTCCCCTCATGTGGCACAGTCGAGCCCCAGAACAAAGGGCTCCCAGAGGGGGAATCTATGCTGACCCATGCTGAACCCGTTGCAACAATGACAGCCAGGATGCATTTACATATGCTGACAGACTTGTCTCTTCCTAGGGTGGAGTGCTAGGCACTTCATTAAAGTAACATCAATACCTGCTGATAGAAAACAAGGAGTGGGCCTGTGTGCATCACTGTCTGCACCAAGACATTATAGTGATATGGCATAGGGCTGTCACATCCAATTTCAAATAAATGGGTAGCATTTATTAAATGGGGTGTGTGTGGAAATTGATGCGAGAGCGGCTGTGAGATGCAGCCTGAGCTGTGAATTGTCTGCATGCATCAGCAGTTGGTTTCCTCACAAGCTGTTCACCTGAACATCAGCTGCCAAAACCTGTCAGCCTATCAGCTTCGCTCAAGCAAATTTCACACTTTCTGAGTGTTAGTTCATTTTTGACCTAAAGAATCTATTTACCTTCTCATAGCGTGGCCCTGTTTTAACACTGCGTCTTGTCAAATGTTAGCGGTTACTCAGTGAATCCTCAGAATAAGAAGATCGCACAAAGTCACACACAGGTGACATATATGTCGATTCAGCAGGCAGGCCGCAGGAGTGCAGGTGGGTTCATTCAGTCATCGCATCATGGTGCTGTGAATTCATTATCCAGTTAAAGGAAGGGTAAATCCTCCTTCCGTTTGACGCGCTGCTCATTTAGCTGAGAGGCACGGTGACTGGGTGGTGGGAGGGGGGCTGAGGGGGAGCTCTTTGGGAGTTGTCGTCCTAAGCAGATGGACTTCTCAGTGGCATAGTAAGTGGAGTCTTCACATGGCAGAGGAGAATGCAGGATCTCACAGGATCGGGACACAGCATCCAGGTGGCCACGGCCCCTCCTGACCAGCTGGAGGAGCGACGGGACCATCTGACACTTGCAGGAAAATGATACACTTTTCTTTGCTGCTTTGTTTAGTCTTGACACAAAAGCCCAGAGCCAATCAAGGAATTTAGTTAATGAAGCTTAGAGAACAGCCTTTTGATTACGTATAAATACTCAAAGCCATGTCAACAACAGCATTTACATGCAATCTTCAGGCGAACACTCCAAGTGTATAATCATGCTCATGTTTTTTATTTCAAGAGAAAACGAGTAAGTGTGTAAGAATAAATGTGACATATTGTTTGAGGTGACTAAGATTTCATACAAACTCATACCTTAGATCTGAGTT